TCCCTACTTGTGTTGTGTGTGTGGGTCTGTGGGACAATAATTTGAGATTTCGTCCAGAGGTGGTGGTCCGTCGTGGATAAAACATTGAAAGATGAAAGAAATCACACAACACAAGAAGGAATATCGGCTATGCGCCTGTGCGGCTGTGAACCTGTGCCTGTGACTTTTTGTTAGCTCGCCCTCAAATCTTGACATCTGAACCATTTTAGTTATTGTATTTTTTTTTAAATAAATACACACTTCAGTCACCACAGAGAAGGAGAGACCTTTTTTTCTTCTTTTTCTTCTTTTGTTTTAAAATAATAGTATAAAAAAAGCAAAACCCTTGCACACATATTTATATTATTCAAATCCAAATTCAGATTATTTATAGAACACTTGACTGTAAACTTCAAGTCAGCCTGCGGGCCAATCGGAATTTTGTATACAATACTGAATATACATAGTCATGATGATGGTAAATAAATTATAAATATTGTGTATATATACAAATCCAATAATATATAAATAGAGTATAGTAGCGTACCCGAAAATATGTACTCACCCCAGGCTTAGAATGATATAGTTACATGTTGAGTATTAATACATATTTAGTTGAAATTTGTTATGCACATGATATAGACAAGTGCCAGTTCTGGAAGCCTTGTCATAGAAGTATCTCGCGTATATAGAGGTCTACGTCTGTCATATACCTCCAAGATTTAACCCGTTGTTAGTAGAGGTGCACAAAGGTGCACGCAAGTACGCGCTAACTAACGCCAGCTTATAGTTTTGAATATCTCCTGTGCTGTGTATATAGCATCCAACTCGATAATAAGCAAAACAAACATAGCACGGCATAGTAGAATATTGATTGGCAAATCTCTATCAATATACATACCTAATTAACCACAACTACCGCAAAGATGGATAATCTTTTCAACAAAGCGATGAACTACATGCAGCCCACGACTGGTGGCTCGGGTGAAGGTGTCTCCAACGACTTTGTAGGGCGTGTGGTGACTGTACAAGGTGCCAAATATAAGGTCATGAAGCAAATAGCGGAAGGTATGTGGAAGTAGCGACTTTGAGCTATCTCGTAGTGTAGTATAGCCACAAATCTGATAAGTACATATGAGAACCTGTTGAAATAGTTGTTTCAGTGAGCACACAATATATATATATATATAGAGAGAGAGAGAGTTTCGTGTCAATATTATATTGATTTGAGCATGATGTACATAACATATATATATTTATAAATACGCGTGTGTGTGTGTGTGTGTGTGTGTGTGTCTC